CCTAAAATCACCTAGGGCACACGACCAAGAGAGAAAATAAAGGAGAAAATAACTTTCTCCTAAACCTTAGCAAGAAATATTCTTTCCCTCTCTTTTAAGGTTGTCGTAAAAGTTACCCGGGATTGATTTTTAGAGAAAATACAAAATCAAAAAAAGGTGGAGCCAGCACCCTATTAATTATGAGTGCTTCTTTATGGATACTTAGACTGCATGGATCATCAATAGAGGTCGGATACATAGACGGCTTTGTTGAAAAAGAGTTTAGATCCGCACTACCGGAGGTAATCCTTTACTTATAGCTTATAATTCATGTATGTATTGTTAATAGATTCAACGGCTTGATCTTGGGGCCTTAGATGGAGGAAAATTTTTATTTATTCCACACTTCCATAGGATGCATGATCCTTCAATTTTTTCAATTGGGGCCTTCATCAAATCCTTCAACCATCGAGGCCTTTACTAAATCTCTCAATAAAGAAATACATTCACCACATTCTTCAGTTGGGGCCTTTACCAAATCTCTCAACTCGTCGAGACCTTTATTGAATCTCTCAATGAAGAAGTGGGCTAATTTTTTCAGTTGGGGCCTTCACTAAATCCCTCAACTATCGAGGCCTTTATCGAATCCCTCGATGAAGAAATGAAATTATCATGAAAATCATGAAACCCTTGTTCCTTTCTTCTTTCCTTAAATCCTTTTTCCTTTTTCTTTCATCAAAATCATTAATATAAAATCATCTTTCATGCTAATGATGTGCATAAGCATATTAAATGAAATGTAATGCTATAAACGTTATCTCAACATGCATACCCTTTGAAATTCCTCAAGAATATACGCACACATGATGTATCCAATACATATTCCAATCACATAAGTATACATGCAACATGAATATACACCATGAACAATCAAATATCATGGAAAGCATCATAATCAAATATTTTTCATACAAACATGGCCAATCATAATAAGCATCATAAGTAATCCTTTTTCATATAAATATAACCTTTTTCATACCATTTATACCTCTAAACCTCACATAAATATTCTCTTATCCTTTGTTTCCATGTTTGACGAAATTAGGCCAAAGGAAAGGACAACTATCCTTTCATTTAATTGACCTAATAAATGTCTCTAAGACATTCTACCAAACACTTAGTAGGCATTAAACTACATAATCTAAATCTATTAATGCCTTGAGGTTCTCATAACCACCTTGTTCATATAATAAGAATATCATCCAATCATAAGCTTCATTCAATTCCACCATTCAAATAGTATAATTTTGACATCATAAACATATATGCCATATCGGTCATCCCAATTCACTCATTACATATCATTCTTCAATATCATGTTCATCAATATATTAAATCAAGTAAACCTTAAATTAATTACTAATCACGCATGAAAACATAAAATTCTTGTGATGTAGGTGAGGAATTATATTTACCTCATTTAGAATTTGGCCTTCTCTCTTTTTCTCTTCGGTCTTTCCTTCTCTTTCTTTTCAAGAAAATTCAGCTAAAGTGGAGAAATTCTTCCCTTCTCCTTGCTTAATCCTTAAAAGATGATTTAGAGGCTAACTTAAGGTGTTTATAAACTAATTAGAGTGATTGAGAGTGGTGGATTTTGGATGGGTGGAGTCTCTCTTTGACGTTAGGTTTTTCATCTCTCCTTCTCCGTTTTCTTTCTCTCTTTTCTCTCTCCCTATTTTCCTCTTTTTGAAAATTTTAAAATCTAGATTTTCTAACTATTTTTATCCCTTAAATTTAACAAGTCCGTAACTTTACATTTTTCATCAATTTGGCCCTCATCTAAGCCAATCCTAAAATTAATTCAAGTCCTTAATGTTTCATAATCAATCATATAAGGACCTTGCACTTAATATTTATGTTTATACCCTTATATTTTGTAATTACACCCCTATGACAATGCATAGCCATTTCAACTAAGAGTACCATTGTCTAATTTAAGCTTCCCTCATTCCATAAACCTATTTCATAAATTTTACTTATGTTTTTTTGTCCTTAATTGAACCTCAAACTTACTCAGTCATTAAATAATTACACCTTTTATTAATTAACCAAAATATCCATATACCATAATTACATTTCTAGGAGGGTTTTTGGTCACGGATATTACAATAAGTGCCTCAAAACAACCAAAAAATCAAGAAAATACCATTGCATAGTGCACATGATTATAAGTGAAGAGTAAATGAATAATATTTTATGAGTGTGTGAATAGTATAATGTCTAAATAGTCTAAATCTTTTAGTGTTTTTTTTTAATTTTTAGTATGTGATTATTTAAAATGTAATTTTTGTGATTGGTTGAAATTTGAAAATAAAAAATTTATAATAATATATCTTTATTGTGTTTGGGTAATATTTGAGAATTCATGAAAAAAATAATAATAAAATTACTATTTACCCCTAAAAGTTACAATATCTAATTTCGTGAGATGACCTTTTTTTGGATAAATAGTTATACCCAAAAATAAATATGCTAATTGAAAAATATATTAATTATAAATACCAAGCAAAATAATTTATTACTAACAAATCACTTAATATATACATTATATTAATGATATGGATAAAATCTACCACCACTCTTTATACTATTGGTCAAAGCATAAAAAATCCATGAATAAATTATTTTGTGTAAATAGTAATTGGGAAAAATTATAGGTGAAAATTAGTTTTTTTGTGAAGTGACCTTAGATTTCCATCTAATTTTTTAAGGTAAAATGTGCTAAGCCTCCTACTATTGGCTAATGTGTAAATAGTCTTTAAATAAATTATTCAATATAAATCGTATCATTTTATTAAATTAGCTAGGGTGTAATATACTAAGCACGTAAATTGGATAGAAATCTAATCCTATTCAACAAAAGAATTTAATTTTACTTCAAATTTTATTTAAAAACTATATGTATTGAATAATTTGTTTAAAAATCATTCATACTTTAATCAACTAATAGAGCATAAACCTTTGTTATATTTTACTCCAAATATATTAATACCAAGTCTAAAGCACTTTTATTATTATTAAAAAAAAAAAAGCAAGGATATGATTAGTTCATTTAATATTAAAAATAGACAATTTGGTTAAAGAAATAAAAATAACATACATCAATCATTTGCAAGCAAAAAAATCCTTGCACCATCATGAATGAGCATTAAATGCTTTGGGATAAAAAGAAAAAGTTATGAAAAAGGGGGAAAAATGAAAGGAAAGAAACAAAGGGCTAAAGAGGTAAAACAACACAACAATAAATGGCATAAAAGAAAATAAGGCAAAACCACAAGGACGAGAAAAAAAAAGTAAAAAAAAAAAGGCAACTTTAGTGGCACAAATTGCTTGCTTGCAAAAAAAAAAAGAAAAAAAAAGGTGGTTTATTATATATAATTAAAAAAAAAAAAAAAGAGGAAGAACAATGTGCCTGAGCGGGGCACTTCACACAAAAAAAGCAAGCGAAGTAGCACCGGGACAACAATACTGTAAACATGAGTACAATTCACAATTTCTTGAGTATAGCTAAATAGTAAACTCTCCGTCTATTTTAGTACTTTTGTTAGTTAATTAATTAATTAATATATGTGCTTCATATATATATATATATATATATATATGCATGTTACTCAAAGCGACTTATAATTTAAACAAACAAACATTATATAACTTATCAAAATCCCAATTTAAAGATGCAAAACAAACTTCGAATTGTTAATGCAAAAGGATTGAGGTAACCACGAGATCAACCCCTTTAGAGAAAGTACTACATATCAAATCTTAAACTCACATAAGTTTCACACAAAAAATTCTACAAATATTAACTTGAACCAAAAAAGCAACCATGCACCTTTGGGTTCAAATCAACCACTTCTTTATTCTGTCCTCTCATCGGTAAACATGACTCAATAAATCATCAACAAAGCTGCAATTTTCAAATAAAAACTCAGTATTAGTGCATTTTTTGAAGCAAAATAGATTGTTTCTCGCTTGAGACACATACAAACTTTATTAAGACCAAATCTAAACTACATCCCGGTTAATCTTCAAAATCAAAAAGATAAAAATTACAAGAGAGATATTCAGCAAACAAAGCAAGCAAACTAATCATATATTATCCTCATTTGATTCTCAACTTCGATAGAAATTAATGCACCACTCGACCCTTTCCATAAAAGATTGACAAATGTTTATGTATAAAAGATAAAGATAGCTAGGTTATAATATAATAAATTTTCTTTAAGAGTTGAGTTTTCGTGCAAAGCAACAACTTGTTTCCTGTTTCTCAAAAAAATAAATAAATAAGAAGAAGGAAGAAAACAACTTATATCCTACATATACTGATTACATACAACAATAAATTAATTTTTTTAAATGGCAAGAACTTGATAAGAAGATTACTGGAAAATGTGAAAGATGATTGTAACAAATTTACTTTTTTTTTAAAAAAAAAAACATAGCTAGCTGAGTGCTTTACTTCTTAAATCCAAAACTAGAAAAAAAAAAAAAAAAAAAAAAAAAAAAAAAAAAAAAACTATATATGAATAATTTAAAGCCAAATCCACGTAAAACTTTACTTTCATTTTCCTCATTTCTGCTACGGAAAATTCTCACTTTATCTCTCACTATAACTCTTCACTTCTCCCTTCTTTTCATCCACTCCAAACACATTTTAATCTTGCCTTTGATATCTAATTTTAATTAGAAAGTTGAATCTAGTTTAGTCAGCAAAAACTAGATCAGAAATACCATGCATCGAGATAATCACACACACACATATATAAATATGAACAACCACATTTGAATTTTCAAGATAGCTTTGAGGAAAGAGTAATAAACGCACTGTGAAAACTTAGTTGAGCAAGCTGGTATTTCTGTAGTTCATGCATGGACCTAGATTAGTAATTTATATCTTATTATTCAAAAATGGTATCAAATAGGTATATATACCTTAGTTACTCTCAGGTCATTTTCATTGATCATATCAGTTGCATATTCTCCAGTTGAGCATTTCTTGCCTGCAGTTGTGCATTGCTTGCCTCCAGTTGCACAATTCTTTCTCCAAGCTGGATCTCGCGATCGGACACAGACGTCTGCAAAAATAAATAAATAAATAGTGTAAACCTGGGATCTCTCTTTTTTTTTTTTTTTTTTTTTTTTTGGGAGAAAATAAGCCCATTATCTTTATGAGAAAATCAATTTGAACTATGGAAACTTCTATAGGCTTCAATGTCGGACCAATCCAAATTGCTTGTTTTTTGAGCAAATAACATGACCGAAAAAAAAATGTAAAAAGGAGAAGGAGAAGTTCTAAATTCATTGATAGAATATAGTGGTTAGCAATAAAGGTGCTATGTACTTATAGGGTGGTAGGATAGGAAGGAAATTTTTTAGCAAGAGCATGCATGGTAGATTCGATCATATCCTATCAGTTTATTGTGAGTTGGAATATTTTCAGTTTAGACAAATAAAATGATGCCAATTAACGGGTGCATATTAGTGGTTTGATGATTAAAGCTCGCGGAGAACAGAGAAGGAAATACTTACCAGTACATGCATGGAAAGGTCTGTAACTTTGTCAGTCAGTTCATTGTTCTTGTGTTTCAAGTAGACCGAAGTTTTCTTTTGACGCTTGACAGACTTTTTCAACGAAGCGCATCGGCTCCTCAAGAAGGCGATTTCATCCTCCAAGGAGGTGTGTTCATTCTTCAGACGTTTGAATCCATCAACAATCTCTCTCTGCACGATAAATAATTGTGAAAAGTGGTCAAATACATATCAATTATAAAGAGAAGTATATGTAAGTAAATTTATCACCTTATTAAATTTTGCAGCGTCTTTCATGCTAGCCTTTCTCTTCCTCAAATTTGTGTTTGAAGGTTGAGGACTCCTTAGTGGTTCAGGTGTTTTTGAAATCATCAATGAGGTGTTCTCCACGTTAATGCCAGCATCTGCATGCATTTTCCAAGGTGAACATGTTTTTTGAGCTGTGTTCATAATCATGAAGAATAAATTCATAACTATATATGAAAATAAGAACACCTTAAAAAAATTTGATCGACTATTATACTATTAATACAACGTTAGTATTTGGAAATCCTATGACTCAAATTATTACTATTCTCTTAGTTATTACCTGTGTTTACTCTCTGATAGAATACCGTCACTCATATTTACTAAAAAAAAAAAAAAAACTGAAAAAAACAAAGAGGAAAAGGGGAAGAAACAGGAGGTTATATCTTCACTCATGCGGTTTTTTTTATTACCTCTACATCAGATAAATTTGATTAGCTTTTTTATGTAATGTATCTGCGAAAATATCTTTATATATATATATATATATATATAAAAGAATTATTTTATATATTTCTATATCTAGAATTATCAAGGGGATATTAAAAGGAAGTAAAACATGATATGCAAGAAAAAGTTTGATTAAGCGGAAGAAGAGGCACAAATTGGAACAAAAATATCATTTGAGTCGTCTATCTTAAAAAATAAAATTTAATAAAAGCTAAAAATATTTACTTGTATATAATTTAAAATAATCTACTAGAGATTATTAAAAAAAAAATTATTATTTAATAGCTGAATAACGCATGTGTGAAGTACAGGCTATAAATAAACGACCAAGCCTATATATAATATACAGTCACTAGGCCTTGTAACTCAAGAGGCCGCACAAGAGTGATTAGATTCTTTTCTAGCCCACCTTGCTGCTTGTGTTGTGGTTAATATTCCAATCCCAGAACTGAAACATCAGACTCAAGAAAAGCCCTGGGTGACGCGGCTCCTAAATTGCAGGGCAACACGCCCTCTCCTTGGAGGGTGAAGGTGGATCCTAATGGAGTTTCCCTCTCAAGATTGTGTGCATATATATATATATATATATATATATGATGTCAAGAGTGATCAAAGGCCGTACCTACTGACTGATTCGATTGGTGCAGGTCGAGTATTTGATTGCTGACCAATCCATGGTTCTGAGCATCACCATGATCACCAATTTCGTTGGAGCATTTTCCTGAAATTAGAACAAATTAAACCCTGAAAGAGATTCGAACAATTTGCTTCAAGAACAAGAACAACAGCACAACAACAAAACTAAGACTCAACCCCCAAACTAGCTAGTTGAGGTTTGCGCCATTTAATTCTACCATACACAAATCCATCTCAATATTGAGAAGTTTTAGATCCTTGGATATCATTCGCCCATGTTATCAGGTGCTTAAATAAAAAACAAAAAACAAGCCTAGAAGCTATTTTTTAGGCAAAAGTTTGTGGGTGATCAAATTTCTGAAACAGATATATTATCATAGAAGCTTTATACGGAAAAGTTGTGAATTAAAACAAAAACCTAGTTAAAGCTTCTGGTTAGCTTGCGATAATCTTTTTCAGATTTGAAGATGTAATCAAAATCAAGACACATGTAGCCTTGGGCGAGAAGGTTTTTATTATTTTGGATACTGATAAGCTAATATGTATTATCACAGTGCTGTAAGCCATCAAAACACAAGCAGCTTTCCAGTGCTTGTATATATTTGTAAAAGGCCATCCAGAATTGATCTGCTCAACAAGGCTTTTCACTTGATATTAAAAAAAAAAAAAAAAAATGAAATCCTATGTTTCAAAAAAGTTCATAAAATTAATGATACGCTGTGCCAGATGTATGGGGGATTTGTATAGCTAATTGTTCATTTTAGGCTGTTGAAAAAATGGAAACCCTAAAATGGTAATAGTTGATAATATTGAGTGCTAGAAAATCATAATTAATCTGGCAGCTAACCTTGCATCAATCTAACAAAAGAGTTATAAATGAAGAGATCGCATATATAACAGCATTCTGCGTGCAGAGAGAGAGAGAGAGAGAGAGAGAGAGTTTGTTCTGAAAAACATGCATAAAAAGCATGCCAAAAAAAAAAAAAAAAGAACATAGAAACAAAGAAAGAGCCGGCGATAGAGGTTGATCGAGCACGTACGCCAATCATTCCCCTTTCCTTTTCTCTTTTTCTCTCAAGAGAAGATTAAGGAAAATAAAACTTACCCTTAGCATCGGCGAACCTTGAGTTAGACATCGGACGGACTGTTTCGATACGATCTGCCGAAATTTGAGATCAACATAAGAAAAGTTTAAAACGATGCAATATTTCGAGGAAGAATAGATATGTTCAAGTAAAAATAGGAACTAAGCTTGATGATCTAACAGTCACAAATTTTGTTTTTCTTTTCATATACACTACCTGAGCTGGTGATGGGTCGGTCGGTCCCGGAAATGGGCGGTGGCTGATGAGATAATGACCGGCTGGTGTGCTGAAACCTGAGAGTGATGATCACTAAGCAATCGTCAAAGAACAGAAATATGATCCCGCATAACCTAATTAAAGACGAAATATAAAATGAAAAGATGAGTGGGCCGGAGTTAATCGGAAGAACTCGGGAGATCGCGAAATAAAACGCTGGATAACCGCTCGACACCACACACCTTTCTAGTACATGTAGCGAAGGTAATAAAGTTAGTGTTACCATTTACTAATGGATGTTTCTTAGTTCACTGGTACTCGGCATTCATGAGAGCCGCCTTTGCTGACTTACAGCATCTCCGATTTATTTTTAATTAATATTTTTAATATAAATAAAAAATATTATTAATTATATAAATTGAAAATTAATATTTTTTTTAATATTACTTTTTATTTTAATTTTTTATTTTGATAAAATCTAAAAAATTTATTAATGAAAATGCTGAATAACATAGAAAATAATAATTTTTATTAATGAAATATAAGATAAAGAGTCATTTGAATTTTCTAATATTGAAGAACTAAAGATATTTTATCTTTTAATTTTAAAAATAAAGATTGTGATAAAAAGAATATTGAAGATGGAATTTAAGTTAAATTTTTTTATTATAAAAAAATTCTTAATATAAAAAGATTATTGAAAAAGCTATTAGTAACAGGAAAAATTAAGTGTGATTTTGTTTCTCTTTTTTTATCCCATCGTGATCTGGGCAGTGCACTGCATGAGTGCATGGTCGTCCCAAATTTAATTGGTTGGGTAATCTTTTACTTTTCTACTAGTTACTCTATATTTTAGCTAACATTAAATATAAACAAGTTTTGAGAGCAAGTGATGTACGTCGTCTAAATATTGCACACACAGGACCATTAATTATATAAATTAATTTAAATAATTAATGATGGAATTAGTTCATAAGTCAATTAAAATTAATTAATTTTTTCTTTTGAACAATTTTAAAAAGGCATCTTTGGTATCAACTTGCTGCATTAAGAGAAATTCAATCTCTTAATTTGAATTTAAAAAATTAAGAAATGGAACAAGTATTTTTAGCTATGAGATCAAATCTTTAAAATTAAGATGTTTAATCAAGATGAAGTAATAGTAGCATCAGGTACTCAATTACCAAACTACTCTAATTTTCCTATAAAAAAAAACATTAATTTCTATTGAAATATGTACTCCTACATTTATATATTCTAATTAAATCGAACTCTTCGTATGTAATACTGTTTTAAGAAAATTAAAGTAACTTAATATTTACTTATGAATTACCCACCATGTAGCTTGAATAGGATTTGAGAAATAAAACTTCAGTACGTAACTATTGCTATGCTTTTGACAGATTGAAAGTCTAGCTAGCTATATATCATTATCATTTTTGTTTTTTATTTTTAAAATTTGAAAATCAACTTTTAAAATTAGAGAATTAAAAAAAAATGATAAGAGAAAAAGAAACCAAAAAAGGGCAACCATGTCAAAGGACAGCCAACCATGAAATATCTTCCCAAATCACAACTCTCTCTCTCTCTCTCTCTCTCTCAGAGAAGAAAGAAAAAGAAAAAGAAAAAAACGACGACAACAACAATAAATAATCTGAGAATCCACCACCTAAGGTATCAAAGGTGGTTTGTTGCAGAAATTTGTTACCATCGTTAAACTTTAATAGAAGACGGATTTTTTCGCATTAAGTGTCAAAATATGTCAAATTTCAAGGAATTAAATTAAAATGACTCAAAACCTCAACGGTTTGTTAAACTTAAAAACTCATGATATCTCCAAACTTTAAGAACAGAAATTTTATCTAAGCTAAAGAAAAAATAGTTTACCAAAAAAACCTCCAAACTCCAGGGAGGACAAATTGTAGCTTACCCATTTAATTGATACCGGTCGGTTGGATCTAAACTCAGAATAAGCCAAGAGAAAAAAAATTGCAATAAGTGTCCAATTAGAGTTGAAAAAAATAAATGATTTAACATTTTTTTAATAAGTAAATTACTCATCTAATTAAAAATTGATCAAGATTGTGCTGGAAATTACATAATTATCACTTACATAGGTATGGTTGTGCAGTTTGAGCTGTACCTCCCAAATGGAGCATCACACTTCCTTTCATTGGACATTCACCAGAAAGGAAAACCTTGTTTGTCGCAATTCCGGCATCTTTTGTCCATTTTCTAAAATCACAAACTGGGCCAGATATTGTTTCTTTTCTTGCATCTTGTCATCCCAGCTGACGTTACTCTCACCCCAGCAACTCCATCTCTGAGATTTTTTAGTTCCCGCATCTTCTAGCTGTGAAGTGGATAATACACCCCTCTTGGTTATTTGATTTACGCACTTAAATTTCCTCCACGTTCAAATATTTATTTGCCTTCCTGCACATTGTAGAAGCAAGAGTAATAGAGAAAGTAAGAAATCAAGAGTGAGATCTATAATTAAGAAATCAAGAGTGAGATCTATAATTGAACTATGTGCAGGAAACATACTGCTTACAGATATGAGCAAAAGCTTCCGGGATATATGAACTACCATCCGGTCTCTTCATTACCGGTATAATATACACGCTGACACTCAAAGTTCATGATGCATATTGTATGTGGATTCAACTTTAATAAATATAGCAACACTTAGTACAGTGAGTCTGTGATGGTGTTTTAAGCGGAAGAAAGCACCTTATAAATTGTAAAAAATTGGGATTCTCACTTGAAGATTCCACATTTGAACACTTGTAGGGATATCTTCAAAAAAAAAAAAAAAAAAATACTCTAGTAGATCGAGGTGAAGGAATCTAGGAATAAGAGAGAGTTTTTACTATACTGTGCAATCCATTGATTGGGGGAAATTATGATTAAAGAATCATTGACGAAAACCTGATAAAATAAGACCAAAAGGTAGACAACTAGACATAATGTTGGTTTACACTTTACTTTGTTAAAAAAACAAAAAAAATTCTTTCATATTCATTTCTTAAAAAGTTAAATAAATTGAAAGAAAGAAAAACGATAGATTCTTTGTTTGATTGCATGTTGATCATTATGTTGTCTTCCTTAATTTTTAATAATTAAGCTATAATAATTACTTCTAGCATTTATATTCGAACTAACCATAAATCAAATTAATTTTATTACATTAATCATAACTAATTACATTAATCTAAATTTAAATATTATTTAAATTTAAAAATAACAACAAACTAATTAAAAATATTAACCTAAAAACAAATTAAAAAAAAAATTAACAATAAATTGAAAAAACTAACCAACCAATTAATTAAAAATAACTTAAGAATAATCAACCAATTTATCTAAATTACCTAAAAATTACATAATTAAAATTTAACCTAACACAACCAACTAACAAAATTCAACTAATAATTAAAACAAACAAATAAATAACTAATTAAAAATTTTAAAATAACAATTAAATAACTTAATTTTAACCTAACAATTGACAACAAATAACTTAACAATTAATCAACCTTATCTAAATTACATTAAAAAAAATTACATAAATAAAATTTAACCTAACACTAACACTTAACAAAATTAATCTATTAATTAAAAAATTTAAACTAATAATTAACATATAATTAACATAATTAAAATTTAACCTAACACTAAAAATTAACGACATTCAACTAATAATTAAAAAAATAAATTGATAAATAACGAAATTAAACCAACAATTAACCAGCTAACAATTACAAAAATTAATATAAAAACTAATTATGTTAATTTAATTAAAAAAACAAAAGATTTAGAGAGAGACACAATTACCAAAGAGGTCGAGGAGGGAGAGGAGAGATTGTGTCGGACTTTGGGGAGAAAGATGTGCCTCATCGGATTAGCTAGGCTAGGGGGAGGGAGTGGTCGGCGTTGAGCGGCATGGGATGACAATTTAAGGTGGCGGTAGTGATTTGGGGAGGAGACGGAAAGGGTAGAATGAGAAAGATGAAGAGAACCGGTGACTTATAAGGTTAATGAGTAGCGACAAACGCGCTTTTGTCGCTAATCCATTGCTAATTAGCAACAAATACCTTAGTCTCTCGCTAATTTGAATTTTAAATCCACCCATAATTTTGTCCCCTTGAATTCCCCAACTACTTTCGGTTAGTGATGGATAAATTTCATTGCTAATTAGCAATGGACAACGATAGTGAGAGATGGATTATCGGCGTATCTTCCCCAATGATGAAAAAAGCAACGGAATTTAGTTTTCGTCATTGATTGTGGTGTTTTTTGCCACAATAGTTAGCGATAGAATTACATCCATAGCTACAATTCTCTTGCTATTTCATCGTTGTGTAGTCCCTAAAATGACCTTTTTCTCTTTCCTTGCTAATTCGTTGTTGATTAATAGCTATTTAGAGACGGAATAAAATTCATCACTAAAATCCATCACTAGTTGTCTATTTTCTTGTAGTGATTGTTTTTGTAATATCCATGATCCAAAACCCTTCTAGAAATATAAATGTGACGTATGAATGTTACGTTAATTAATAAAAAAAAAGGTGTATTTATTTAAGGGTTTACTCCACATTTGGTCCCTATACGAGTTTCAATTTTTTTTATTAAGACTCTCTATGATTTTTCAACTTGATTGACACCCTCTACTCTTATAAACTTGTTGATTTAAACCCTCTATTAACTATGTAATTGACATGGCATGTTAAAAATGACGGTAACCAATCAAGCACACACATGGAAATACGGGTCCCAAATGTGAGATTATAATTATGAAACTAACAACTAATAGATTTAAAAAGATTTATAAT